AAAATGGAAAACCATTCCAGTATCCTTGCCAAGAAAACCCCAAATGGGGTGACGAAGAGTCAGACATAACTGAAAAACAACTTAAGAAAAGGGTCCCAAGATCTATAGTGGGGAAGGGCCCACACCAGCTCTGTTTCTCTTTTGAAACTTGTTTTATTTCCATATTTTCTTCCTTCCTTATGTGTTCATAAGTTGAGCCTCCCTATATAGATCCAGGAAACTTTATCTGTCCCTTAACTTTCTCAATTTTCCCTTTTCCACTGGGCTTCATGAGGAGGTACCTCCTCCTTCTCCCCCTAACCCCTCCACTTGGCAGCTAGCTTGTTGATAAACATTTAATTTGGAAGACGCATCATTGTAGAGTGTGGGCTAGAGCTCTGGGCCCCATGACCCATATGCTTCCAATTAGGAGGCCCTAGACTGGTGGAGTCCATGGAGCACTGACTTACTCTTCCATCACCCCATCCCACCTGGAGAAGCCTGATTTCAGGTGACACTTTGCTCCCTGCTAACGGCAGCCATCTCCTTTCATCTGTCAGCTTTGCCCCCAGTCAACAAAGGGGGCCAGCCAGACCCGGCACCACTTCTACCGGGAGTGGTGTTCCTTCCTGCCAGAGATCAGAGTGCTGGCAGTGACTGAAGGGAGGCCTTTCTCCTCCTGGCGAGCGGCAGGCGAGGAAGCTGAGGGGGCTTTCATGTCTCTGGCAAGTCTGTTGTTGTTGGCTGGTCTCCCCCCTTGGTGGCTGGTCCTGATTGAGAGGCAGCTGCTGAATGCTTCAGGAAAGTGACAGTCACCTTGGAGGAAGCCAGAACTTGTAGGGGCTTGGGTTGTAAGATTTGGAGTGTTAGAGTTTGCTGTGAGGAGGGACGGGCTGTCCTCAGGGGGAATGGGGAAGGCGAGTGGATGACAGGGAGGTTTGTAGCAGTCCTCATCCCCCAACTGCACACATGCACACATATACATATTCTTTGTCTTTTAGCCTTTTCCCTGGAACCTGAGACACCTAAAGTGCAGGCACAGTCTCTCTCGGCTCTCCCTCATCTCATGGCATTCTCTACCCATACAGCCTCTCCTGTGGCACCTGACATCCAAAATGGTTGTTATCCCTGATGGGTCTTTGATGCCTTTCTCCAGGGAGTTCAGCATTTTCTTTCAATTCATTCTTTGTCCTGAGAATGCCTTTCCTCTAGGAAGGGAAACTGAGGCCTGGAATGGGGGAAAGTTTCCCTCCCAATGTTCTGGATCTCAGCCACAGCCCCAACTCAGGAAACATCTTCAGCTTCCCTCTCCCCACACCTATTCTTTTTTTTCTTCTTTTTTTTTTTTTTTTTGGTGAGGCAATTGGGATTAAGTGATTTGCCCAAGGTCACACTGCTAGAAGTGTCAAGTGTCTGAGTGCTCTATCCACTGCGGCACCTAGCTGCAACCCCCCATGCCTATTTTTTTAGCCCAAAATTCCAGATTTCTTTATCATCTTCAAATACTACCTAATCCAGCTCTTTGCACGCTATTCTGTACTTTATGTGTCTTAGGCTCGCTTGAAAAGAGTAAACTGTGGGCTATAAGAATGCCTAAAGATCACCAAGGGAAAGATATCTCAGAAATACTTCTATGTAGCCATTCTAAAGCAGGCCAGGAAGTTGTCTTTGAGGCTAACTTAAATTCCTCTCGTTCCAGTTTAGGCCTATTCCTTTTTGTTTCATGGCATAAAATATTTACTGACTGCCTATAATATGCCCAGCACTGTACTAGGCTTCTATGGAGACTGGAGCTGGAAATAGAATTCTTCTTGGCTTGAGAGTCAGCAAAGTATATACTCTTTTTGCTAGTGTGTAGAAAGAAGTCCTAGATCCTGGCTTCCAGGTGAGTGACCCTGAAGTCTTTCTGTCACTCCACATTCTCTGAAATACGTTCTCCTCAGGAAAGCTACCTAAGTCACAGACATGGAATGCTAGAGCAGCCTGAGAAGTCTGTTCATTTGTAGAGTCTCTATGACCCTTAATAGTGCTGCTAGGGGCAGTACAAAGGATGAAGGGGAAAAGGCTTATCAGGAGCTCAAAACAGATTTCAAGAGTAGGAAGAAACCAAAAACCTCCATAGTAAGTAAGCACAGGCAAGGAAGCAAAGCTTTAGCAGTGGTGGGGAGGCAAAGTAGCCAGAGGTGCCCACAATAGCTAAATAGTGCTGAGTTGGCAGCCAAAGAGGAGAGAAGGGCTGGCCTGCCGAATTAAGGAAGGTGGCAGGAGGGATGACACAGAAGACTGCACTATCCTAGGGGTATTCCTCTACTATTCTGATTGTGGGAAGCAATAGTTTGGGCACAAGGGGGAAAATAAAGGTCCCCATACTACCCCTGTTTAAAGCCTAGATCAGAGACTGACTAGCTGCTCCCCTGCCCTCAGCTGCAGCATAATCCAATGATGACATCAGGCTTACCAATATGCTTTTGAATAGGGTCCAAGGCTTTCTTTTCTTGCTTGTAATTGGGCTGCTTATTCTTCCACATCCCTGCTTAGCATTCTTCTTCCCAGCCCTCCAAAGCCTTTCTGTGGGTTAACTCTTTAAACGGAAGATACCATCTTTCCAGTTTTCTATGGAAGTTAACTCCTCTGTGGAATCTCAGTCCTTTACTTTCTGTCTCTCTCACTTTCTCTCTGTCTCTCACTCACTCTGTCTCTCCCTCTCCTTCCCTCCCCAGAACTAAGGACCTGGGCAAGATCTGTGGGAAAGGAGGGAGATAGGACACAGAGGCCTGGTCCTGATCTCCAAAGCTTTTGTGGTGGTTTCTTCCTGGTGTCTTGGGCCGGGCATCACTTTCTGGAGGGCTCGAAAGGAAACCCATACACTTGGAAACAGTTAGATTTTGAATGGCATATGTGTGTAATCCACTGCAGTAGACCAGGGTGTCAATTTGAAATCCGTGTGTGTGTGTGTCTGTGTGTCTGTGTGTGTCTCTGTGTTTTCTTTTTTTTTTCCTCCTTTTTTCACATCTTTTAAGGTCAGGTGGAATTCATGAAACCCCAAAGGACCTGGGCTTTGATGTCCAATGTAATGATAATAACACTGTGTGTAGCTCAGGAGTCTTTCATCCATGGATCTCAAAGCACTCTCCTAACACTAATTAATTGTGCCTCCCCTCTCACATGCCTTGAGGGAGTTTCCTGTTTCCACAGTGTATGTATGATTCCTCTGGCTCCTTTTACAATTAAAAAAGCAAAGGGAGGTGGTTGGGAGCCAACAAAAGAGCTGTAAGAGATGTTGGCCCAGGATCTAGTGAATAAAAAGTGGACTGTCATCTGAGAGACCAGACACTTATTTGGCCTATTCATTTTTCTGTGCCAGTAGCTTCCCTACTGTCTGCCTTGCTGCTTTCCTCAGACATTTGCTGTCTACAAAGAGCCAAAGAAAGAAGTTGTGTTCCCAGCTTGGACTAGGGGCTGAGCACACTTGGAAACCCTTGGACAAACCTGGAGCCCTTGGGGAGCTGGGAGCAGCCACCCAGGCCTAGCGGGGGTGGGGGTGGAGGGGCGGTATCTGACATCTGGCACAG